GTTGTGATTGGTCAGCTTGGACAGCTTTCTCAGAAAGAGGTGGGCCCTCACAGAACCGTGTCCGTCTTGTTTGTTACACCACTGCTGTCGATAAAGTTTTTATCTGAAACTCGCAGTTTGACTCCACCCTGACCGCCAACACCAGCAAAGGCTTCTGGGTACTGAAGTTCAGAAGCAAGCTTTAAATTAGCAGCAGCTGGACACTAACATGGACACTAACATAGATCCTCCTGCTGCTGATTAGATCTCATTATTATTAGTATTTGTTCATAGTGATCAATAAAAACAAGTTATTATTGATTAGAAATATCAGACATTGCAAATATTAGCAGAACCAACATTCTTGGTAGCAGTATTCACATCTCAGTAATCAAGCTTCCAGCTGACCAATCAGAGAGCAGGGGGACGTCACCATCTCTTCTGCAGAACCTTATCAGCTCCGAAGCTCCGCCCCTGTTTTACACATTCGGAAGCGGGCCGCTGACCACAGAGGCGCCACAGTGACGTGACGTGTGGGCCGCTGGGCCTCACGTCCTTCCTCTTTCTGCAGAATTAAGCTCATTGTCAAGCAGGAACCTCAACTTCCAGTCAGAGGTCAGCTTTAATAACATCAGGCGACCTCAAACAGAGAAGTGCGGCCACTTTGTTAGGTCCTGTAATATGTTCAAAACCTGAAGGTAAACTTACGAGTGCTTCAGATCAGCTGCAGTTAACTGACCCCGAAAACGTCTTTGTGTTTGCGAGCCGGCGCTCCACGACCTCGCTCCACAACGTCCACCTCCCTGCAGCTGTTTATCCAGCTGTTTTAACCCTCAGAGCTGTGAATCCAATCAAAATGTCAAATTCTGACACATTTTTATCTATAATTGTCTGACTAGTTTTCATATTCTTCATACGATTTGTTTTATAGTTTTCTTCTATTTTTGAAGCATTTCTTACTACGTTTCAACAAAGCCTTCATTCTTCACTTGCAGCCTGACCTTTGATTCTGCAGAAGTTTAACTGTGTTGTTTCTTTAGACGCTGAGTCACTTATTTACTCGTAAATAATGCAACATGAACTCAGAGATTCACAAGGAGATTACAGAGAATTCAAGGGGAAAGTTAAGAGGGAATTTCCTCACAGCTCAGTATAGGTGTCTGTATTTGTGTGTCTGTATTTGTGTGTGTGTGTTTGTGTGTGTC